GGCTGGACGCTGCGTGTGCAGAGCGCCTAGGCCTCCGGAAGCTGCCCGTAACTGTGAAGAGGACGCAGCGTGGTCGGACTGGTCTTCCTGCAACCCAGAGCAGGTTCCCTAACGGCTCTGAGCCCGGCTTTCTCACCGCAGGGTGCAGCGGGGGCGCCCTAGCCAGAGGCAGCGCGAGGCCCACCAGGGCAACCCTGTGAGCTCGGCAGGCGCTGTGCATTGCCCGGGGTCCGGGGCTGCAGAAGAGGAAGCGGCTGGGGTGCGACCGCCCGGGACCGCTTGTTAGGCCTGATGTGCGAGAGGTTAGGAACGGCAGACACCGAGGTGCTGGCGTGGTGGGTGCAGAGGGCTGAGAAGGAGAAGGCTGTCCACGCCTCCCTGACACCCTCTGTGGTGGCTGAACTCTGGGCTCCACGTGGAGCTCCTGCTGTGTCAGTCTGTGGGCCCACTTGCCCCTAGCATAAGGACACTAGTCAGACTGAATAGGGGGAGGGGTCTACTTTCTAACTTCATCTACCCTAGTGCTCCTCAGAGACCCTGTCCAAATAAGGCCACATCTGCAGGCAGGTGGCACTGGCACTTCAGCTGCTTTTGCCCACCCGCAGCAGCAGACCTGAGACTTGAACCTATAATGTTGATTGAAAATGTAAGATTGGATTGGTCCCGGCTGTACAGGGGAATCACCCACCGCAAAGCTTTGCACAAATGCGGTTGTTGGCCCAGCCTGGTGGTGCATGCAGTAGTAAACCAGCTGTGAGGCAGAAGCCGTGTAGCTAACCACAGGTTGCCGGTGGCGTGGACACAGTGTGCATGTGCCGGTGCCCAGAGCCCTGACAAGTGGGAAGGCCTGGGAGTGGGGGTAGCATAATGAGGCTTCCCGTGCACATGCATGCTCTATCCTAAATGAAAAATATCGTTGCCAGGGACCCACCTTCAGAGATTTATTACCTTTTTAAAAAAATTTTGCTAGGGGGCACCTGTGCTTGCTGGAGAGAAAGAGGGAGAGCAAAGAAAAGTGAGGAAGCACTCCCCACCCATGGGCGTGAGCACACGATGGCCTTTCTCCTCCGTTCCTGCCTCCTTCTAGGATGTCGGGCACACGTGCACACGTGCCTGGCATGTCCCTCAAGCCACTAGGACTTAAACTGCATGTCAGTCAAGGGATCCAGCTGCCTTAGCACCACACCACGGGCTGGCAACACGGGGAGGGAGGTCTGAGGTGACTGGGGGTGCACAGAGGGGTTATAACGAGGGTCCCTGGGCAGTGGTGCCAAGGTTGTGCAGGTGTCAGTGTGTGCCAACTCACTGAGCACACTCCTACAGGAGCGCGAGCCTCCCACGAGGAGGGACGTAATAGCAGGGTGACATGCCAGTAACCAAGGTGCCAGAATTCAGCTGCATCCCCTGTACCTCTTATTGTCCAGACAGTCCAGCTACCTGGGACAGCCCTCGCAGAGGGCCAGGGCCAGCGTCATCCCTGAGCAGAATGAAGGAGAGCACAAGCCGTGCCGGGAGGACCACAGGGAGCACGTGAAGGGACCGTCAGGGCAGGTGGGTCCCAGCCGCGCCTCTTACCTAGTCCCCTATCGCAGGTGAAAGAGCAAGGCCGAGAACAGAAAGCCATCGAGCAGGATCACACAGCTCTTAGCAAGCAGATTGGAACGGAGTCCAGTGCTCTTCTGAAACACAAAGGTTCAGTGTAGATAAAAGAAGAGACAGAAAGGATGGGAGGGACTTCACAGGTGCCCTGGGGCCAGATCCCAAGCCTGTCTCCAGTCCAGTCTGGAGGGCAGTGCTCTGGCACACTCTGATTGCCTCCTTCCGCTCTCACTCCAGTCTGCAGTGAGTCGGTGTCAGCCTGGGAGATGGCAGATCCCATGAGGGCCAGGAAATACCAGTCCTGAGATCTCCCAGTGCTGGAGAAGGTTACGACAACAGGAAGGAGTCCTTGAGAGAAACCACCTGGGACGGCCTGTGGCCAAGGCCCAGCCCCAGGGAGCCTGTGTGAATCATGGGGAAACGGGGCCTCTCAGCGTGGACAGCCACAGCACCTAGTCACAAGGCTGCAGGTTAACCGGGACCTGTGCAGTGTCTTCCTTCATACAGGCACAGCGATGACACCTCCGCATGGAGCTGTCAGGCCAGCAGGTGGCACGGTGGTTAGGGTGGCTGGATCCCACAGGGCAAACTGTATGATTCGAGTCCCAGACCCGGCGACTTAACATGCTTGGGGGGCCAGCAGGTGGCATGGTGGTAAAAGCAGCTGGATTCCCACATGGGTGGTTGTGATTTGAGTCCAGACCCGGTGGCTTAAAAGTCACACCAGACACATATGCATTTGGGCCCAAGATTCTGAGAAGAGTCTGGAGGAAAAGGGAGCGCAGTGTGGCCATCCTCCCTGGAGGGTGATTTCTCACTCCCCCCTCTCTCTGTCTCTCTGGTGAGCATGCACTCTTTACCAAAACTCTTTTTATAAAAAAAGAGATTTTAGCTGTAAGGCACATGCATTCACCAGAGAGACAGAAGGCAAGAAATCACCCCCCCTCCCCAGGGGGATGGCCACACCAAAATCCCTTCTCCATTTTTCTCTCAGGATTTTAGGCACATACGCACACATGTCCAGATTCGAACAGCTGTCAACTACGTGGGAGTCCAGCAACATAACCATTATATCATGTGCTGGTCCCAGCAAGTCTTTTTAAAAAGAAGACATTAGGCCCCTCCCTTCCTAGCCTTCAGACACAACAGCACCTCTGTCTCACTTTTTCTTCCCCACCCCCTTTCCCCTTCCTTCTTTTTTTCCTTTTTTCTTCCCTTCCCCCCTTTCACCATTTCCCCTCTGAGGTGCTTCCCCTGGGCAGGGGCAGAGCCAGTCTCACCCTACCCCACCCCTGCCTCTCCCCAGCCCCCACTGCCCTATGGCGAGAGGGAGTCCCCTCCACTAAAAAAAAGAAAAAAAGAAAAGAAAAGAAGGCATTAGATACTGTACACGCGGCATTTCCAGGAAGCATCGCATACAGCATACGTGCCGTCATGTTTTTCTCTACACATGTCGAGGGCCACGAATGTAGACTCCCGACGTTAGGATCAGGTAAAGCCCAGACACACAATGGAGAGAAGACCACGCATCGGAGAGATGACCTGCCACACAGCACCACTGCGTGCTATGACCTGGACACTTCTGAAATCATTATCTTATCAAAGGTAATCAGTCGAAATGCACTGCAGTATTTGTAATCTCACTGTTTGTTTATTATTTTCTTCCATGAGTAAAAGAGACAGGAGACAAAGGCAGCACTCCCAATAGGGTCCTGGTGCCGTGACCGCCCAACACCAGCCAGCTCAGACCATCGCCATGCCCGGAGAGGTTTCCAGACCTGAACCCAGAACCTTCCCATGTGGGTCAGCCCCGCAGTGTGGTGTTACTGCTGGGCCACTGTCCATCCCTGGTAACCTCGTTTCTTAACTTTCCCAAGCCCCTTGCTCCTGACTTGGGGAGGCCATGTCTCTGCAGACCCTGCCTCTGCAGACAAGGACCGCCTCGAGATGCCAGGGTACCCGATGACATCTCGTAGGCCATGTCTGCTCCTCAGTCTCTCCTCGACACCTCTCACTGCGGGTTCTGGGAATTCCATGGGTTGCTCTAACTATGACACCAGCAGATATGTGGCAAAGAGTCCGTGGCACTAGGAAAGGGTCTGCTCAGCCACTTGCTGGCCACGCATGGGGGAAGACAGACTTCATCTCTGTCCCTTGATCTGCTCCTGCATTCCAAAGGTAGGTTGGTCATACTACCCGAAGAATTGAAAGGTCACCGAGACTGAAAAGCCGGTGTGTGTCAAGCGTAATTCCGGCGCACAGCTGGCACTTGGGCCAAGTTCATTTCCTTCTTTCATCATAATGTCACAGCCCCACGGGCCTCTCCAGTCTCTCCCAGCCACGGTTCCTGGTGACTCCACACAGCCAGGCACTCATCTACCTCGGGGCCTTAGCACTTGCGAATCCTCCTGGAGCACTGACCCCAGATACCCACTGAGCTGACTCCCTCACCTCCTCCATGTGGCCTGCTACATGACAAGCTGTTCTACCAAACTCCCTCCATGTGGCCTGCTACATGACAAGCTGTTCCACCAAACTCCCTCCATGTGGCCTGCTACATGACAAGCTGTTCCACCAAACTCCCTCCATGTGGCCTGCTACATGGTGACATTTAGGACGGTGCTTCCTCTGCCTGACTCCTGCCAGCGCCACCAGCCCCAGCCCCAGCCCCTCGCTATACTCCTTTTTCTCTTTTCCTGTAGTACTTTTCACTCATCACATATGGTACAGTTTTTATTCTTTTTTTAAATGAATTTTTAAAAGTTTAATGAAATTTTTTTTTTAAATACAAATAGAAATCCATTTTCTTTAACGTACAAAGAAAGTGAGTAGAGCCCTAGGTAAACAAAACATGATCACATTTGTTCACCACTCCCTAGTCCTTCATGTTAACTTTACTATTCAAACAATAGAAAGTAGGCGACAACTAGGGATTGAGGGAAAGGTAAAAAAAAGTTTCTACCATGTTTATCCCACTACACTGCATAGCCGTGCTCACAGAGACGGCTTTTCTCCACTGCACAGAAATTCAGCGGCAAATAAAATTGAACCTGCTCAACAGCTGAGGGACTAGACATGGCAGGTCCATATCCTGGTGTGTTGTCATCCAACTCGAACAACGCTGCAGCTAGCAGTTTGTAATTTTTGGGGGGGAGAGGTTTTTGCTATAGGGCATGTGTGCTCGCCAGAAAGACAGAGAGAGACAGAGAGACAGAAAGCGAGAGAAATCACCCCCCCCCCAGGGGGGATGGCTACGCTGC